AAAAAAAAAAAAAAAAAGTTACGCAAAAAGCAAAAAATGAAAATAGAAAAAGTTATGCAGGAAAAGAAAAATAATCATAGATTATATATTGATATAATCATAGTAACGCAGACACGAATGTACTGGACTATTATAATAAAATCATGATGCAGCTATACTGTGGGCATGGGGGAGTTCCTATATGGAGCAGAGTGAGGAAAGAGAAATCCTTGTTTCCACGTAGGAAATCAGTGCCTGAAACTGAAAAATCAAGAAGTCGTAACCCAAGTATATTTTTTAGAAACGTGGGTAAATGACAAAATGATCACTAAAAAGGGCATCCTCTGAAGAGGAGGAAAGGGAAGAAGTAAGGCCTGCTGTTTTTTGTCTTGAGGAAACTATTTAAACTATATAATTAATAACTTTTATTGAAATAAAAACAAAAGTGACAAATGCGCAATGGTGTAATGGTAGCACTGTGAAATATCAGAAGCAACCTAAATGCCCAGCAATATTGATCACAAAGTACTATGTGATCATTCAGAATGAAGAGGTAGACCTATGCTTACGATCATCTAGAGAAGTCCACAATATATTGCTAAATTAAAAAAAAAAAAAAGGTAAATTTTAAAATATCGATATGCTACCCTTGCAAATGCTGAGTCTCTGGTTTTCTAGATGTGCTGAGGAAGTGAAGAGCCCTGGAGAAGAGGCCAGCAAAGCTAAAGTCCACTACAATGTTGAGTTCACCTTTGACACGGATGCTCAGGTAGCCATTACCATCTATTACCAGGCCATGGAAGAGTTCCAGAATGGTATTGCCAGGTAAGATCAGGAGACCAGGTGAGCCACCTCCTTCCCAGATAGGCAGAGTCCATGTCTTATCCACTCAGCAAGAGCAGAAAACATTCCTTTTCTGTACCCAGATGAGATCTGGTTTCTGAATTTAGATTTTCTTCTACAAAACCTTACTCTACCTTTTCCCTTCAAATTGTGCCATCTTGGTATAGTGGCAAATGATGGATGGTCCTTTGGGTCCTTAACATGCTGTTAAAAATCTAATAAGCTACTTCTATTTGGATGTGTAGGTTGAATAGAAAAGTTGAACGTTGCCAAGCAAGAGCAAAGGAAATGGATTATAAAGGACCCTTTCTTTTCTTTGCTAGAGCCTGTTGATAATTGAGAGCAGGCATGAGCAGAGGAAGTTGTCAGACCCATCTGTGCCGGATACTGACTTTTCCTTTGCCTCCCACTTGCATCAATAGCTACATTCCCAAAGACAACAGCCTCCAGTCGGAGACTGTGCACTACAAGCGAGGAGTGTGTCAGCAGTTCTGCCTGCCCTCCCACACCGTGGATCCCTCCGAGTGGGCCGAAGAGGAGGTGAGCTGCCTCTGGGGAGTGTTTCCCATGTCTACTCAGAAGGGCCAAGGGGCTACTTAGGACTCCAGCCAACAGCAAAGGGGCTGCTCAGATGCTTGAAGGCCATGCTTACCTCTCAGCCTTGTGACTTCATCATGTCCTTTTAAAGCTCTGCTTATTTTGCATCAAGGATATATCTAACTTCATTAATTTTTCTATTCCAAATAGCACATTAGCCTGGGATACTTTGAGAAAGTCATGCTCCAGGGAAAAAAAAACCTATAGGTTAGAGGGCTTTATTTACATCTATGAAATTTTTGAAAAGAAACTGATTGCCCTCAATTAACAAACTTGGGTAATTAATAAAGCTGATGAATGAGGAGCAGAGATGAGATTAGTGCTTCTTGACTGTATCGCCCTTTCTGAGATTAACTGTGCCATCTAAATGTGTTAAGTCCTCTTTCTTTTTTTTTTTCTTTCCTTTTCTTTCCCTTCAGCTTGGCTTTGATCTGGACCGAGAGGTTTACCCTCTAGTGGTACATGCCGTGGTAGATGAAGGAGACGGTAGGGGCGATTTCTGTCCTCTATGGCTGGGCAACACTGCTCTTTTGTGGCATATTCTTGGCAGCAGCTGTGGCCCAGAATAACATGCCTTCTTTGTGGGTGTTTGTGACTGTGGGTCAGGCAGTCTCTGCATTCTCTCACATCTGTGACTTCAAGCTCCTGGGCTGATGTGAAAAGTGTTGGTTTGGCTGGGCACAGTAGCTCACAGCTGTAATCCCAGCACTTTGGGAGGTGGAGGTGGGTAGATCACCTGAGGTCAGGAGTTCAAGACCAGCCTGGGCAACATGGTGAAACCCCATCTCTACTAAAAATATAAAATCAGCTGGGCATGGCAGTTCATACCTGTAATCTCAACTACTTGGGAGGCTGAGGCAGGAGAATCACTTGAACCCAGAAGGTGGAGGTTGCAGTGAGCCAAGATTGTGCCACTGCACTTCACCCTGGGCAAAAGAGTGAGACTCTGTCTCAAAAAAGTGTGGGTTAGCCGAGTGTGGTGGCTGATAATGGTGCTGTAATCCTAGCACTTTTGGAGGCTGAGGTGGGCAAATGAACTGAGGTCATGTTGACCAGCCTGGCCAACATGGTAAAACCCCGACTCTACTAAAAATACAAAAAATTAGCGAGATACATGGTAGCTCATGCCTGTAATCCCAGCTACCTGAAAGGCTGAGGCAGGAGAATAGCTGGAACCTGGGAGGTGGAGGCTGCAGTGAACCAAGAATGTGCCACCACACTCCAGCCTGGGCAACAGAGCAAGACCTTGTCTCAAAAAAAAAAAGTGTGGGTTGTATAACGTGTCCCTTCTAGGGACAAACTGGCATATTTGGTTTGCCAGCTTGCAGGGAATTGGAAAAGGTCATGGGCTTCAAGGTGTGCCATTTGGGCTGCTTTACTCACGTGCCTTTGTTTCTTTCAGAGTATTTTGGCCATTGCCATGTACTGCTGGGTACTTTTGAGAAGGTGAGTGACTTTAGAGGATCTTGATTTATTGCCTTTTGCCCTTTCTTTCATGTGAGACACATGTAACCCATTTGCTGGCTGCCTGAGCTCAGCAGAATGGGTCTGGCTCTAGAGACTGTGGTGTGAAAGAACATCAAGGTGGGGGCTATGCTCCAATCTAGGTCCATCCCTGCCACCAGCTTGCTACAGGACCTTCAACTCCTTAGGCCTTAGTCTCCTTAAAATGAAAGGGTTAGACTGGGCCAGACATGGTGGCTCACACCTGTAATCCCAACACTTTGGGAGGCCAAGGTGGGCGGATCACTTGAGACCAAGATTTCAAGACTAGCCTGGGAAACATGGCAAAACCCTGCCTCTGTTAAAAATACAAAAATGTTGGGAGGCCGAGGCGGGTGGATCACGAGGTCGAGAGATCGAGACCATCCTGGTCAACATAGTGAAACCCCGTCTCTACTAAAAATACAAAAAAAAAATCAGCTGGGCATGGTGGCGCATGCCTGTAATCCCAGCTACTAAGGAGGCTGAAGCAGGAGAATTGCCTGAACCCAGGAGGCGGAGGTTGCGGTGAGCCGAGATCGTGCCATTGCACTCC